TCCCATGTAAATATCATCATGGAAGATCATTTTCCCCATTGTTATCGAACCCTGGGGAACATCATCTCGCAAAGCTGCATGGATCTTGTTTCTTTATACTTGCAATAATCCCCCCCCAGAATGGTCAAGTAACCGTACCGGGAGACGTACGATTATACATTATTCGGATATCGCTAATGCACATGGTGGAACACTTCGCTCCGCTGCGCTCGAGACGAGACGAGACGATTCAGTATATTAAAGAGAGATTTGATGATACAAATGCTACGGCAATGGGAACTGCATAGCTCAGCTAATATCTGAGGGAGACAGGGTGTTGATCACCCGTTGGGTTGTTCGACACCACAGATCCTGTTGACATTGACTTATAACACTAGCCAGAGCGTTACTATTTGGAGGAATAAGATGAATACAACAGCAACAGTACAACCTCCTACTAGCCATAGCTAGGAGGGACAGATTGGGCGGACGGATACCACAACACACAACTGTTGGACGATAGAGTGATCAGTGTGTTGGTCGCCATAGGCTGGGACCTAAAGAAAAAACGACCTAAAGCATAAGAGAGTATCAACTCGAATGGAAATCATACGTTATATCGAGGATCATCTGGATCCTTTGCAATATGTCCAACAACAGTCATCTGGGACTACAACGATGTTCACGATAACGTTTTTCTGCAGTTCTGGCCTCAGCCAAAGTGTGCCACACTTGTTGTGAAAGAACATCACATGTACATCAGTAGGCACTCTCTGCTGCTCAGCCTCTGTTCAGGTGGGCAAACAGTGATACTTGAGAGAAAAGGGGAATGAAACAGACAACAGAGATGCAGCCAAACACTCAATCCCCCAGTCGGAGTCGCAAAGCCGAACTGATCGCCGCCCGTCCAAGATGAACATCCACGTCCGAGCGTCGAAACCGCTGGAAGCGGAATGCTTTCTGCAACGGGCCAAACCAACCTTCACGAGACAAGTCTCGAACCGAGGCCCGTGGCTGACAGCCGCGTTTTGCGCACCCATGCAGCCACTGGTTGTATGGCGACCAGGTTCAAACACTGGGCGGCAACTATAAATTTTCGGAGAACCCGTTGAGCGCGATGCTGTTGTTGATGAATTTCTCGATCCTAAACAAATCAACCATGCGCACAATATCACACAAGTAAACACAAAGCTTTGTCCCCGTCCCAGACCTTCCTAGCTGTATTCGTTTTGCATCTTTATCTTTTCCCTGAGGATTATTTACCTCTGGTCGAGTTACATAATAGTGCATGCGAGTAGTTGAGTTCGGTTTTACCAACGTAGAGTGAATACGCTGCGCTCCTTTGAAGACAGAAAGGTTACCCTCGTGAATGGTTCGATAGTTAAGTAAGATGTATAGTTTGCTACTATTGAACTTTACATAGATCTCTTCACCTGTTATTAATTTTACATCACACGAGAGATCAAACTAACAGGATATCTTCGTACCTGTGTTACTAATGATAAGTTACTGTATCGATGTAGCTATGTATCTAGCGTCGAGCTAATATGATAGTTTGCCACTATTAACCTTCACATAGATCTCTTCAGCTGTTATTAATCTTACATCACACGGGAGATCAAACTAACAGGATATCTTCGTACCTGTGTTACTAATAATAAGTTACTGTATCGATGTAGCTATGTATCTAGCGTCGAGCTAATATGATAGTTTGCTGCTATTGAACTTCACATAGATCTCTTCACCTGTTATTGATCTTACATTACACGGGAGATCAAACTAACAGGATATCTTCGTACCTGTCTTACTAATAATAAGTTACTGTATCGATGTAGCTATGTATCTAGCGTCGAACTAATAGTTTGCTAGTAGTAACCTTCACATAGATCTCCTCACCTGTTATTAATCTGGCGTTACATCTAGTCACAAGACTGAGAGGACATTTACAACCAGTCATAACTCAAGTCTGCGACTATGTGAGTGACGAGGTGCGAGCTTTGGAGCAAGTACAGCATATGTGAAGTTGATACTATGCAAATGTGAAGAATGTGTGTTTTCTACTCCGGGATTAATGATAGTGAACAACTTGTCGCTATCATAGTCTCGAAAGGTTACTTTTATCACATCACATGTTCATAGCAATGTTTATATTGTTTATGCGATATAGTTTCACATCGATTCTTATTAATCTCGGAGAATAACACACATTTGCATCATATCAAATTGACACACACTATATCCGCCACATTTCGCGTCTTTCAGTTACACACAAAAAACCACACGAATTTTTCCACTAACAACGACAAAAAAGCATCATCGTATGGAAGGAAATCATACAAGGTGTTTATACTAGTTGGTAAGAAGAACCCACAATAAAATGGCCGCGAGAATAAGGAAAAATCTCGATGCTGCCTGAGACGAATTTTCAGCTGCTGTTGGCCTCACGCCCATACGTCCACCTGACAAAAAAAAATTCTCTAGTGCAGAAAAACTGTGTGAAAAACGTACCAATTTCGGGACCAGTATTGTATCCTGCGTATACAAATGGGAAAAATGGGAAGCCCGCTCCGAAGTGAAACTGGACTTGATTTCCATCTGAAAAACTCCACCACAGTGCGGGAAAATTTGCACACAGTTAGTGAAAATATGAAAATTCTGAGGGAGCTCGGGGGAAAAATTTTAATGGCTTTTTGTACACAAGAAATCAGCTGAGGAAACCAAACATACAGTGTGTTCGATTTTGATAGTCTGAAATGAGAAAATGTTGTAGCTTCGCTAATTCGACGATTATTCGAGGTCTATAAGTGAGCAATATATTAATATGTATATTCCTCCAATACTGCTCGACTCTACCCTGCGGCGTGAGGGAAAATGCACAAGGTACCACATACGATGCTGAAAACATGAGAATTCTGAAGAAAATTTTTAGGAAAAATTCATTGCTTTCCCTACAGTTCTACACGAGATTGTAAATGAGTCCTATAATCACTAGGGAAACTCCCGAGCTCAGAAGCTGAGGAAACCAAATATATATTCCTACTCCAACACTGCTTGTCTACACTCACCATCGGAGTCGTTTCCCCAACCGAACCAATTTCTTCGATTTTGAACAGGCGGTCTCTCTCCTTTTGGTCGCGCACGTGGCTTCTTTCGAGGGTCTTCAGGATGCTCCTCGTTTCCACCCCTTCCATATAGAGGAATTACGTTTTCTCTGAA